GATATGGAGATTCATCAACAAACTAAAAATAGAAATTCCAATAAACCCAGCTAATCCTCCTTTGAGTATCTTTCTGAAAGAGTTAAAGACATCATATCACAATGATATATTTATACCTATGCTTATAGCAGCAAAAATCATAATAGCTAAATCTTGGAAGTGACCTAAATCCCTTTCAGCAGACAAATGGATAAAGAAGATGTGATATGCATACTATATCTCCACAATGGAAGTACCACTTAGCCATAAAGAAGGGTAAATTTGAATTATTTGTAGGAAAAATGGATGCACCTTTAGACCATAATGCAAAGTGAAATCAGTCACAAATGGTTAACTATTGCATGATTTTTCTTATATCAGAGACTGGAGGTATAAATAATTTGAAGAGCAAAGAAAAAATAAATAAATTATAGGAAACAAGAAGGTAGACCTTTTATAGATAAGATGGAAGGATAGAACTATGACTAGAGAGGAAGAGGAATTAAAAGGGATTAAGGTGCAATGTGTACATGTACCAACTCCCTAGAATAAATGTATTCATTATGTATAAAAAATGTACTAATAGGGCTGGAGATTTAGCTCAATGGTTCTGCTGCCTGCCTCACAAACACAAGATCCCGAGTTCAATCCCCGGTAACCGACCCCATGTACTAATAAAAAATGAAATAATAAAAAGGGAAAAGGGGGGAGCAACTTCACAATCTAGCATTAAGCCTTATTAATTTTTTACATAATGCATGTGCAGTTAGAGTTTGGTTTATATTATTTTATTCAAGTTAAATTCTAAAATTACAAATCAGAAAAGGAAATGCATATATATATCAGAATTAGGGGGAAAAGAGAGTTCATAGTTTTTATGTTGAGTTAATCTTGTAGTACCGTGATCCTCCAAAAGGGTAGTTTGAGGACCAGCACCATCAGCAGGAAATGTTGATCCCAGTCCTACTGTGTCAGAAGCTGTATTGTTATAAGAGGTCCATGTTATTTGAATACATATTAAAGTTTGATAAGATTGTTATAAGGGAAAAGTTAAAATAACTCTTCTGTACCAAGAGTCTTCTTACTGTTGGTTGACTGAGCCTTCTTTGATCAGCTATATAGAGACACAGGAGGTGGAAATGATTCAGGGAAAGGTCAAGAGCATAGTTGAATTAAGCATATCTTCTCCCCCTTGTGGTGTGTCTTCCTTGATAGCAGAGGATCTTGCTTCTTAAATCACGTAAGAGCTATTTCAGAAATTGACCCCTCTGAGAGTCTATACCAGATTTGCTCCTATTTTGTTCTAGATTATCTCTAATCACTCATTATTCTGAAACATTTATGAGCATTTGTGCCAAATATTGAGGTAAGCCTTTTGAGTGTATGTGCGTGTATGGCAGAACTGCAAAAAGGAGGAAAGTTTGAAAACCAGAGAGTTTCAAAAGAGAAAGGAAGTAGTCCCCACCTCTAAGGAGCTCATAATCTACCTGAAAAAAAAATCTAATGTAATCACTAATGGCATTGTTTAAGAAATGTTGCAAAGCAGAGTAGTAATAAGCAGCACAAGTCAGTTTACAAACTTCCCTCTTAAGGAGTGTCAAAATCCCAAATTCACTTCTTTATTCTTTTAACAAATACTGAGTACCAAAAAAGAGCTAGACTCAATGCTAGACAGAATAATAAAATAATTAACTTGTATGGAATTAATCAATGTGGTCTTGCTAAAATTAAGATGGTCAAATTTGACTCAAGTTGTGAAGAAAATATATGAGTCAGCAGAAAATATACACAATTTAGGAAATACAGATTTTTGTTTTAGAGGACTGGGGATTTAGTTCAGTGGTGCCATGCCTGCCGGGCAAGCATGAGGTCCTGAGTTCAATCCCAGGTATTCCCCCCCAAAAAAGAATTTTGTTTTAGAAAATATTATTTGTTCACATATGCACTTTTCTAAAATGATTCTTAGGACTCCACATTCTTTTTTAAAAATTTCAATACTTCAGATATTAAACATTTATGTAATACCTATTATATGACAAAGGCTAGGGATTCTCCTCAGACAACTAAGCAAATAACTGCAAATATGTTTGAAGTTATTTCAGGCTACACTGGGGAAATGGGTGACTGTTAAGGGAAGAAGAATAAAATATACCTTAAGCTTAAAAAGTTCAGACACTTAAGCTGAGTCTTAAAAGCTAAGAAATCTCCAATCAGAAGATAATTATGAGGAAAAGACACTACAAGTAGTGGAAGTAGCATGTCATAGAGCTGAAATGTGAGTAATCTTGGTATAACTCAGGAACTACGATACTAGAAGCTAAAAGTGGTTAAAGTATAAGGTATAAAGAACATGTGAACCAAAGGCCTTTGCACAAAATGTTTTTGCACACAGTAATGGAGCATTTCTATCTTTCTGTGCCACACACACACACACACACACACACACACACACACACACACCTACTTAGCTCTTATTCATCCTCATTCAGAAATCCTTTTGTCAGCATTGACCCTCCAGGGTAACTCAAGTTATTTAATTGAATATTCTGATAAAATCATGGTTTTTTCCTTTGGAGTAGTTTCCCCAATTTGAATTTACATATTCATTATATATGATGTGATTATATTGTTAATAACTATTTTCCTTCATTATATTAGTAGCTTTAAGAGTTTTGTTTGAACCACGTACATGGAGAAAAATGTATTACATATCACAAGTCAAATGTATTCACACACTTATATGACATATACAATATATAAATATACATATGTGAGCAAAAAGAAGAAACAGTGATTATATTTACCAGGCATGATAAGATTTTTTTTTTTCTTTTCCTTTTTTTTGGCAGGGTGGGCAGTGGAGTGGGAGGGATGGTGAAGTTTCACTATGTTGCCCAGGCTGTTCTTAAAACTCCAGAGCTCCTCCTGCCTCAGCTTTTGGAGTACCTGGGACAGCAGGTTCATGCCACTGCACATGGCCTATGATACATATTTTCTATGCTTTTTCATTAGAAAATATTTACAAGTTTATTTTATAGTCCACCTCCATTTATGATCCCTAGTTTGAAAAACCTTGTAACAGACTAGCACTGTAAAGTATGACACTGAGAGCATTGAAGATACTTAGTAGAAATTTACTAAATGACCACCGCCTGCCTTGCAAGTACAAGGACCCAAGTTGGATTCCCAGAACAAAAACAAAATTCACTAAATGAGTAAAAGGAGTGAATAGCTTTAAAATGTATTATTTTTATAGTATGATTATTTCATTTTTATCAACAAGAAAATTGAAAGTTACAGAGGATTAGTAATTTAAATGAAAGCAATAGTAAGCAAAATCATGATTCACATTCAGTTTTGTTTGAAATCAGCTAATTTCCTCTTACACAAGTAAAAAGAAAGTGTCTACATTGCTATAGGTAGCAAGCTAGTAATTATTTCACTGGAAGAGAAATAATTTTAAAAAATTTATTCGCATTTGAGATGCAGTTAGTGCAGAATTCTGAAAAACAATTGATATATTAATTTTCTACAGTCATTTGCTTTAAAATTCTGCAAAAATAAGCAAGTGAATCAATTAAATAACGTTGGTAAAATGACCAATTGTTGAAGCAATGACTTTTATCTCTATTTTACATTAGTTACAAAAACTTTTTTAAAAATTTAAAAAAACATGAAAATGGCATAATGAAAACAGCACTGCAGAAAAACTCTCCTGGCTTTTACAAGTGAACAATGGAAAAATTCAAGAAATGTCTAAAAAGCACAGGATATAACATCTTGCGACAGAAGGGTTATGATGTTAATATATGTCCTGTTCTACATCAGGGTAAGCAAAGCTACTTGTGCAAAGAAGTGACTCATTATAAAAAGTAGTTTATTTAAACCCCTAGAAAAAAGAGTGCTTTGTAGTACAATAAAAATTGTATCTTTTTTTTAAAGAGGCAAAATCTTTTTATTATTTATCATTGTTATGGCAAATATGATTAAAATATTTTTATGTAAGAGGTTATCTTTTTTCTATATATAAAACACTTGCTACATGCAATTATAGTCATGATCATAGGTCATGTTAGATAAGCATTACAGCAGTATTTGTCTAAAAGCCAAATAATATATCAAAATTTTAAAAAGAAAAAAGCATTTTGAATCTCCAGAGATTTTTTTTCCAGGGCCAGTTGTAGCTTTGTGGTAGAGCTTGGGCCTAGCATGCACAAGGCCCTGTGTTCAGTCCCCAGCACCATAAATAAATAGCCATGGAAATGTAGTATAGTACTGCCTGTATATTCTGATTCAGAAATAGCATTATTTATGATCCATTTTTTTAAATGCTGTTCTGAGAATTAACATACTACATTTTAGTACTACCTCTGTCATTAAACAGAACTTGTTTTAGGTACTAATCTTTTCCACATGAGTTCCTTTAGTCTGTAATTCATTCCTTTCAACTTTAAAATGAAGAAAGAGGGCCAGGGATTTAACTCAGTGGTTCCACTGCCTGCCTCACAAGCACAAGGTCCCAAGTTTGATCCCTAGTACCAAAAAATAAATAAAATGAAGAAAGAAATATATACCTTTGCTTCCACATTTGGTTATGAGGTAGTTAAAATTTTATCAAAAATGGAAAAGTATGCATATGTATAGTGATATATATCCATGAGTATGTTCAGACACATCACAAATACATGTACACAGATAAAGTGATAATTATTTAGGAGGGTAGCTAAAATAAAATCCTCTTAGAAATGCACAAATGTATATACTATGGAGTTACAGCAAGATCATGCACTGGCTCCAAGAAACAGCATATTTAGAACCACGTCTACTGGTACTTGGGAGTTATGGATACCCAAAGTCAAACCATTAGTAACAAAACCATTGTCTAGTCTGGGAAGCCAGAAAAATATCCCCCTCCTAAAAACTTTATCTATTTGAGTGAAATTTTAGAATTCCAATACTAAGTTCTGTTCCTTGCTATAGGTCCATGTTGATGTTTATTCTTGGTCTTTTCCACCTCACAGCCGCTGATGGTCCAGGAGATCGTTTCATCATTGGTGAATCCCAAGCTGGTGAACAGGTAAGATTTACAGGCCTGAAAAGCACTGAAGATTTCAGCTTCATGGACTTTGGACATGTAATTCTAAACCTGTCCTGTCAACATTATTGAAATCTCAGAGATTACTCAGAAAGTATCAGAAATTTAAAGAAATACTTGCCAAAAGAACCAAATTTTTAAAAAGAAGCAAATAAATTATTTCTTCATTTAAACAGTCTACCTTTAGGATATGTTAATTTGAATTGTAATGATAATTTCATAACCTGTTTCTCAAAATATCATGCTGTACACTTTAAATATATAGTATATGATTTTGTCAGTTTATTCAATAAAAATAATTTTAAAAGGGAATGTTCATCTATTAATATATGACATGATTCTGTATATGTCTCCTGTAGACATACCCTACAAGCATTTTCAAGTCCAACTATTGAGTGTATCTTCTATAAAAATATTGAGTTACTGGATAGAACTATTTGGATCTCCTCAATCCTTGGTTGCTGAAATACAGAATCTAGGTTCATTACCATTATCATCCCTCTTTACATATTTCTTTAACCCTCTTTTGTTGTCAGTACACACATGCTTTAACCCTTTTGTATTGTCGTGTAAGCACATGCTGAGAGAGGGGAAGGGAAAGAGAAAAGGAGGTAGGAACAGAGGGAGGGGTAGGAATGGCTTTTGCCAAAACTGCCACCTTTTGAAATTTTTATTTATTATTTACCATTTTTATATAGTGCTTATGAGTATTTCATAGTGGTAGTTGAGTCTCCTAGCTTAGGAAGAAGCTAGGCCTGGTGCTGTAATAGTAAAATCTTTGTCCATGTTGTACTCAGGCTGTGTGTATAGACTCTATGACCATTTTCCTGACCAAAAAAAAAGAGCAGGTAGGCTTAATTCTTTTGTATAAAAGACTTAACTCGTGATTTTTTTTTAATCTTGTGATTTATAATTTGATTTTTATCAGCAGTGGATATCTAAAACATCCATTTTTTTAACAAAGCTACAAAATATCCATTATTTAAGGAGTACTTGCCGAATCTTCTACTGAGTCTACTCAGCATTTATCAAATAAAACTACATGTGTACCAAGTGCTAGGTTCTGGTGATACAAATTGCATTAAAATGCAATTACTATCCCTAAGGAGTTTAGTGGAGGAGACAATCTAAACAACTAAATATAATACAGCATATTAGGTATAAAGCTAATGATATCATTCAAGTGCTATGGAACACAAAAGAGAAGTTAAGCATTTTTGCTCTCAGAAGGTTAGGGAAATGACTTGAAACTGGCCTTAGAGAGTTTTGCAAAAGCAGCAGTGGGAAAGGAGGATTCTAGGCAGAGAGAACAGTATAAGTCAAAGATCCAGGGGTGTTTAAAAACAAATTACTTGGTATGCTTAGGAAAATAAGTAGTTTGTAGTAGCCACAGCAGAGCAAAATATGGACCTTTACTATAATTTAAGAGAATTAGGAATTGCATTGCTTAACGTCTTCTGCGTTATTGTGAAGAATTGTATAACTTAAAAGTTAACTTCCTGTAAGTTCTCCAAAAAAGTGAGTTTTTCTTCAAATTATCTGTAACTGATGTAAATGATGTGTCACATATACTTTAGAGAAACCTGAGAGATTTTGTTAAGAGCCAAATTGCTCACATCGAGGTAGTGGTTTGTAAAATGGTTTCTTGGCATACTAAAATTCTCAACCTTAAGTCATTTATTGTTTGGTTCTTGCCATTTATACTTTGGACCCACTGATGAGCACTGGGCATTTACAAAGAAAATATTATGTAATTATAAGATATTATCAAAAAGGCAATACTTTCTTTTAAGTCAAAATTTAAACTGGTATTACTCTGTATAAAGCAAATTTTAAAAATCAATAAAAAATAAAAACAAGAGAATAACTGCTAACTTTAACAAATATAGAAAATATTATACATATTATTAGAATATAGCATTTCAGCTAACAATTCAGTTGCAGTTTACTCTGTCTACTCTAGATATATAAATGTTTCTATATCTAATATATCTTTAATTCGGAGTTTAATAAATATAAACTGATAGGAAACGTTTACCTACCATTTAGAATTACTGATCTTTAAGAAAAGCCAACTGTTTATTAATAATCACACAAAAAATAATACATTAAGAGTTGGTTTAAGCTAAAATAGAGGAAACTAGAAATCCAACTGTAATAAAACTTAAAGTAAATTACAGAATATAATAAATTGAATCTGAATAAATTGAGGCAAGACTATAGGCTAACACTTTTCAGCTTCAGAAAAAACTGCCCTGAAATTCACTTTCCACTTTACCCAAAAAGGTTTTTTTTTTTTCAGCAAATAAAGAGGCCTATTTTAAATGTGATTATTCCACAGCCTCAGAAGACAGTTATGACATTAACTAAAAGACATACATATCATAATAAAACTTTGAATGTTGTTTTCATAAAAACTCATTTTACTTGAGCCAGGGATTTAGCTCAGTGGTTCCATCACCTGCCTCGCAAGCACAAGGTCCTGAGTTCAATCCCTGCTACAAAAAAAAAAAAAAAAAAAAAAAAAAAACAATCACTTTACTACAAAATAGTCATTTATAGTGAATTGAGATGTATGTAGTATCTGGAATGGAAAAAAATCATCATTTTCAAAAGACATTGGACCTTAAACTTTTTGTTTTAAGTCTTATACTCAAGAGCAGGTGATACAGCTCAGTTGTAGAGCATTTGTGTAAAATGCTCAAGGCCCTTGGTTCAGTCACCAGCACAACCAATCTTTCGATTGATCAATATATAGTACTTTGGTTGAAAATTACCTTACAATATAATGAATCTGGATAAACCTAGAATGTTTTTTGTTCAAATAACAGAGTAAGAGTATGTAAGATACATAGCTAAATGCCAGATTTGATCCCAAGTATCTCTTTTTCCAGTGTCTGGGAAAAAAAAGAAGACAATGGAGTTGTAAGCCATGAAGCAATGTATAGTTCATGCAATTGTGATAATAAGATGACATAAAGCACATTCATTCATTTGGAAACATTTATTGACTACCAGCTCTGTGCCACGTACTTTCTAGACCTTAGGATGATAGACCAATACACAGTATCTAGAAGAGAAAAGGTTAAGGAAGATTAATGCAGGAGCTATTTCCAAAATATGGACACTGTTAAGAGAAACCAACAAATTGTTATGAAGCACCCAGGTGCTAGTGACAGTGAGATTCTGTTACTACTTGTAGGTCTGAAGAAGCAGGGGGAAATAAACTGAAGCTGGAAAAAATCATAACTACAGGACGGGCCACCCAAAAAGAAGTGATGGCTCTCCGTTAGAGGAGATGTCTAACCATCACCAAAATGTAGCCCAGCAGGAAAAAAGCAAGAGGAATAAAAACCCTATTTCTCTTTCCCTCTCCTTCTCTGATTTCTTGTTTAACCCGTTTCACTGGCTGAAGCTAACCAGATGATAAGATGATGGGAACCTAGTTAAAATAGTATATAGATTTCATATTATATAGTTAGAAAATGATAGTGTGATCTGGAGAGGCAAACCAAAACTCAAACAAATCTCTTCCTTTTTAGGGCTTATATTCTAGAATATATAATGCATTTAATACTGTAACTAGCACACGTTATGGGTTCATCCTTATGCTATAGACAGGTTTTAAAGGCTTTTCTAACAAATAAATGTCCAGTTTTACTTTGATTGCGCTTCTAGTGGTAGGATATTTCTCCTTAACCATTCCCTAAAGTATGTATATGTGATTTTTCTTTAGAGGAAATTAAATATATCATGTAACCATTTTAAGCATACAATTCAGTAATAGTAAGTGTATTCATGTTGTAATGACAATATTTTAAACACTTATGAAGTAGATTTCTTTAAAAGATTTTTTTAAGTAGAAAATTTATATCATCATATGATTTAATTTAAGGAGAAATCTGAAGTGCTCCTTTTTTCAACTATGACCTAAATCATGAAAGCTGACAAGTGAGTCTCCTAAGACCTGATCAAAACTGTCAGATGAATCTTATAGAAATATGCTTTCCTTCACGCTGGGAGAAGACAACTGGACAACTCCTGTCACTGTACCATCGATATGAAAGCTCAAATAATGAAAATACTATTTTTTAATTTCAAAAATAATGTTTAACCCAGGTCATATAAACTCTGGGTCATTTTTAAATGATTTAATTATATTCATTAGACTTTATTAGTAATTGATAAGTGGACTAAAATGTTTTAGAAAAATATCAATTGTAATAATTAAAATTATTTTTCTGGCCTCCTTTTATTTAACCAAAAAGTTTAGTTAACAAGCCACTACACTTGTTGAATATCAGAATTTCCCAAATTACCAAGGTTTTGGTTTTTCATAATTGTTATTCATAATATTATATGGTCTCACAATTTTTTCTTACAGACTCTCAAATCACTTTATATTAATTCACATTAAAGTATATATAAAGTCAGTTTAAATAATGTTGAAGCCTCGTGAGTGTCCCTGTTGGTGGGTAGCTTCTATTATATGGGCTCAAAATGAGTAAAATTGAACGACTTCTCATGTTTATTTCTAAAAACATTACTTCCCTGGCAGGTTTTCCTTCACAGTAGCCAAATAATCAACTATCTCTTTCACATTTGTATTTTCAGCCAACTCAGACAGTAATGCCAGGACAAGTCATGCGGGTTACAACAGGTGCTCCAATCCCCTGCGGTGCTGATGCAGTAGTACAAGTGGAAGATACCGAACTAATCAGGGAATCAGATGATGTATGTCACCACCAGGTCTTACCCTGCTGATGTTCCTGTGGCAATTTTAGAAGTCATGCCCATTTTCTGCCATGTTTATTAGATTAACCTTATTATTTTGTTGTTTTTTGTTACACTGGGATCTTATATTGTAATGAATGGCTCTGCAGTAAATTACTTCAGACTTAAAATTTTTATGTTACAAGAGGGGTCTTTGTATGCTGTTACTATAATAGAATTTGAGCCATATTTCATCCAAGAAATTTCACATGCAAAGAAAGAAAAGAAACACTTCACACTCAAAAATAGTGATATTAACATTTGACCTATCTTCTAGCTCAGAAATTTGTCATTGAGACTAGCTTCTGATAAAACATGAGATTGTTTGTGAAATCAAAACTTAATAGAGAAGAATTTAATAAAGAACACTGGTAATTTTTTTAATATTACCCTAAGCCAAGCATTTCAACGCAGCAACCTTCTTGCCTCTAGTTTTCTGTAATTCGGGGAAAAGCTATGCCACCAAATGATAGCCTGGAAACTTTGAATTTATGTCATCTCCCCTTCCATTGTCTAATGGACTGTCTTAGTTATTTTCTCTTTGCTGAGACAGAATACCCAACACCCAAAGTTAAGAGAGGAAAGGTATATTTGGCTCACAGTTTGTAGAGGTTTTCGCTAACTCCAAGTCAGAGTGACATGGCAAAGGGGTAACAGAAGAAAAAGTTTGTGGCAGGCGGAAGCCAGCAAAGCAACAAAGTAGCAAAGAAGCAACAATCGACAAACCTGTTTTTATCCTCTACAGGATACCCACCCTTAGGGCAGGTAACACCTATACCATTAATCCTAGCACTCTTAGCACACACTAGAATACTCTGCTATTCTAACCACCTCTGAAAAACCCCAAGTGTGACTGTATGAGGCTTTGGGGTACATCCAGACACAAGCCATTACATGGCCTTGAACATAGATCTACACATCTTTCTTTTTTTTTTTTTTTTTTTCCATTGAAACTAGAGGCAAGGCTGGGGATTTAGCTCAGTGGTTCCGCTGCCGGCCTCGTAAGCACACAAGGTCCTGAGTTCAATACCTGGTATCAAAATAAGAAAAGAAACTAGAGGCAGCTGTTGAAACCACAGTATCAGCCAATAATAAAGTAGGAAAATTCAACTGAAATTTTAATGACTGGTAATCTTAGTTGTTTTGTGAACAAGTTTAAAATATCTTCTATTTCTAAGCTGTGGTTTTATATATATA